ATCATATTCACTGCCATAATCTGAAACAAAGGGGACTAAATAAAACTGGTTTGAAGAAGTTTTAACCAAACATAAATTCAAATCACAACCTCTAAGCCATCCACTGAATAAAGATAACCCTGCAAATGTCCACTATTTCCTAACATGCGGAAAAGGTCAAAAGGAATTGTTGATAGTTGTAGTATACAAGCTAATATCTTATGACTAGTTACTTTTACTTTACGGCTAACTCCATGAGCTGGAGAGATGCCGAACCCTGCACTGTGATTGGCTATGCTAGCAGGCAAGATACTGCCATCTTGCCCTGCTCTGGATTACCCGCTGTGTCACACAAGAAAATAGTATTATTTTTCATATAATAAAGCCTTTATTGACCAAGCTTGGTCGATCAAGATGGCTGGATATTGGCCTCATTCTTTTATTGCATTTATGGACCTCGATTCTGTCTCGGTACATAACCACGCAAAAATAAAACTTGGCCAATATCCAGCCATCTTGACCTCTCCCCAGGTCAGTAACCCATATGTATTCACCAAGAGCAAGGTCTTTGTGGGAAAATCTCAAACCGAGGTCTTGCTATATGGAGTCATGCCCCGAGCCTTAGCGAGGTCAATGCAACAAGACCAAAGTTTGAGATTGTCCCGTAAAGACCAAACGTTTCAGGCTTACAAGTACTTTATTATATGGCATTGTTTGGGCAAAGATGATTAAAAAGGAAGTGGTCAAGTAACACAACAAAAGTTGGTTGAAGTTGTGATGACTTCAGACACTTAGTTTTTCGTCTTGAAATTTTAATCCATCAAGGTTATAAAATTTGCTCTCAGAATGTTCATTGTATTAAATGCAATGGTTTCAAATTATCATATGATCTCTTTTTGCATAGGGTATGACATTAACAACAATTTATAATTTCCGTGGGTATTACGGCAGAATCCCGCCTTTGAAATAGTCATCCAGAGCATGCGATCTATTGCGTACAATAGCTTTACACATGCAGTAAATAGCAGTACTCGAAGATTGAGAAGGCCAGAAAAAAAAAGAACAGAAAATCAAGTTTTCTGTAGATGTCAACCACAAGAGCAAAGACAATATCATAGTGAAGTTGTTTATTGTGAAAGGAACCCCTCCTAAAATAAACACCATATGGCAGCTATACACAGGTGTCAGTGGTACACTACACCAACCAGACTTCAATCTACTCGAGCTCAACCACTAACGTTTTATCGATTTGATTCTAAGCATTTTCAAGTAGCAAAAGATTGTTGCTGTTTCCCAGTACATATAACTAGTTTATACGGACGATGTTACTCTAACGTCAAGATTATACAAATACGAAATCACTGTTTGAATGACGGGCATCCTTCAAACAGTGATTTTCTGTAGGTTCCTTCACCCAACTTGTCATGAGTAATATAAAGTCAAAGATCAATTGTTCTGCACAGGAAGGATAAGCTGAGGCTTGCAGCTGTCACTCATGGTGCCTTAACACCAACCACTTTCTTGCCTCCCTGTGAAAAATAAAAACAATGTTTCTCAAATTGATGTTTTCTCTGGCTGTAATGTGTAGTTCCAGATAATACCCATACCTCCCCCATGGAAGGGATTTTTTCCAAGACCCCCCACCCCTCTGGAAATTCCAATTAAACTTGATACATTTCTTTACATTTTTTGGTCTTAGAGAATCCCCCACCCCCAGGAAATTCCAATCTCTTCTGTGGGGGGAGTATCAATATTCTCTGGTGCTGCACAAATTACATTTACAAAGAACGGGAATTCTTCATGATTACTTCAGCACAAACACCTGTAGATTAAGTCTCTTCCACACTACGCCAAAGAATTTGAAAACGGAAGTTTCAAACTACGTGTAAACGCATCAAATATTTTCTGTCCACACTATGCCAGAAGAATTTGAAACTCAACAATCGTCAGTCATTTGGCATTTGTGTTTGAGTGAAACTCAAGCAGAGGAGTATCACAATTATCGTAACGTTATAGTTTTTGAAAAGCTCTGTTTTTAAAATGTTTTCCGTCCACACTAAAACGCAAAGCTGATGTTTTCAAATTTCTCCGGTTTGTAGAGCGTTTTCAAAAAGCTCAGTTTTCGTGACAGATTAGTGTTCCCGGGCCTAACTGGACAAATAAAGCTCCATTTTCAAATTCCTCTGGCATAGGGTGGACAGGGCCTTACTACCAAGCTCAAAATGGAAATTCTCCTAACAATAGCTATACATTTCATGTAATGCTGGTTCTGAGAATTTGGTGTTATATCAAGGTAATATCCCATTGTTGAGGATTTTCTTTATTCTTGTCAGCTTTCCGCTTAACTCTTTGTTCATATTATAAGGAGAAACCTACATCATCTACATCATGGATCTTCCATGGGAATTAAAGGGCAATTGAAAATTTAAAAATTTAGCTCAAATTAAAGCACTGTTTAGTCTGAAAAACAGAGAAGGTTGAAGCTGCAGTTAATGGATACACCCTTCCAGTCAGATCAGAAGACAAAAGAAAGTGATGAAGATGTGTTGAACCATTCAAATGAAAGCTATCAAGCAGTGCTTTCATGTGGTACTGTTTATTATGCTGTACAAGGTGATTCTAACTTTAAGTCTGTTGATGAAACCCTAGTGTATGACCATTCAAATGAAAGTTGCTGAGCAATGGTATATGGTATTATATGCCTGACATTTTGTTTAGTGAGTACCTCTTACTAACTGAGTTAAAGATTTGTACTGTAATCAACAAACCACGTTTTTTCCCTTCTGATTAATTTATGGCTCAAGTGCAAAGTGTGCAGATCATAAAAACAGACAGAGGGAAACAAGGTTCTGTAACTTACAATACTGGCCAAAATGACGAGGTTAGCAGAATACTTTTTATAACTCTAAAATGTGTCTAACAGGTTCGGAAAAATTAACAATTATTTCAAGTCACAGTGAATGACCTCCAATGATTGACATATGTCAAAAGCAGAACAAGCCAATTCAAATTTGTTGCTAAGTCCTTACTCATTCACTGAGAATGTAATTGCTCTTACCTTTTTGAATTCCTCATCCTGTCGTTTCTCGTAATGGCCAAAGTCATCAAAGATTGAGGTCTGGTGCTTGTAAGAGTGAATGATCTTCAGCACCTGTTTCCCCTTTTCAGGAGGCACTTCCTGAGTGTCGCGAGAATTGGTGACTGGTTTGTTGTCATTGTTCTCCAAGCGAATGTGACGCAACGCATTATTTGGCACATCCTTCACATAGAACCATTTCACTTCAAACTTGCCCTTCCATTTATCCTGAGACCAAATTCCAGTCTCAATCTCCAAATCGACTTCAGACATCATCATTGCAATACCACAGAAATGACCACTTCCATTCACACTGAAAAGAAGGTAAATGGGAGCCTTAGCGCCCTGTTGCTCTTTAAAAGCCTCGTTCAATCGCCTGTTGCCATGCTCCGTGCTTGTCCACACGCTGTATTTGATTGAACGATGAATATCGTCCTCACTGTAGCTTTTGATAATGAAAAAGCGGGCATTTTTCTGAACAAGACTGAATTCCTTTGGGTTGTAGCAGTTCTTGGCCTTCAATTTATCAAGAATTGGAACTGACTCGGATGGAGTAACCGGTGTATTTGAAGGTCCTGGATTTCCAGACATACCTCCTGCAGGATTGGGTCGTGGCCTTGTGCCGCGACCAATAGCAGGCTTGTTGGCCCCCGATTTAACAGCATTGCCCCATGCTCCAGACTCAGTTTTAGAAGACATAACAGCTGGTTGTGAAGTCATAGGAGGAGGCACTTTTGGTTTTGGTGGAGGCAGTTTTGGCTTGGGTTTAGCTGGTTGACTGGCAATTGCAGCCCAAGACTTTGGTTTAGTCTCAGAAGCAGTAACAGTTGACGCACTAGTTACTGAAGACAACTTGCTTTGATCATTCAGTCCTTCATTTCCTTTGTCATCCACTCCAAGGGCCAAACTAGATAGAGCATTCTCCACATTTCCCGCAGAACCAAATTCTTTTCCTTTCAATGAGTCAATCTCGACCCCAATTGGATTTAACGCTCCATGTTCAGAAGTCGGAGGAGGTGGTGGTTGGTAAAAATTAGGCAGCATTGGTGGCCCCTGGGATTGTTCACCCCACGAAATATCTGTTGAAGTTCCGGGAAAATACAATGCTGGGGGTCCCTGTGAGTTGTGACTCAAACTGCTTAAATAAGCGTTTGTGGAGACGGCGACTCCTGCATTGTGATTAAACATCTGATCCTGCAAAAGCTGTTCACCGTTTCCAACAGCACTGAAGCCCGAAGACGGAAATAGCGTGTTCGGGTTCAGCGAAGGCACGCCGGTCGACCAAGTGCCGTCGCTAATTCCAGCCGCATTCAGATAAGGGAAAGGCATTGGAGGCAGTCCAGTGTTCGATCCAGTGCTTGTGCTCGGATAAAAAGGTGGAAGATATGTGTCCGTTAGTTGGTTCGGCAAGCTCGTGGCGGCTTGTTGAGAATTTAACTGCTTGTCGTTGCCCTGAACACGAATAAAGGTAATCGTGGAAGAAGAGCGATCCGCCATAAGAGCGCCGTAATGTTGTCAAGAGAGAGGAAATTAAAGAAAACACGGCAATAGTTAGGAATCATTCTTGATAAAGAAACGTCACGAGATAAATTGTGATAAAAACGCGAAGGATCGAAGAGAAACGAAATCGAAAGCAAATATTCGACAAAACTCACCTGTTTCGTTCCCGGATGTAGGTATCGGTCGATGTCTTCGCCCGCCACATTTTGTAATTCACCATTTTTGTTCACGTACCCTGCAACACATTTACGAAATAGGTATCAAAAAATGATTACTTGATGAATCGACTGTTTTCCCAGTAAAAGGATGTCGTAAAAAGTCAATGGCGTACCTTTGCCAGTGTGATCCTTGGGTCGCTGCGCACACACACACGAGGAACGAATTCAGGAATGCAGAGGAAATTAGAATGAAATTAGTCGTTGTTGCCTTCCCCGGCGTTTAATCGGCGTAAAAGAAACACAGATAAACAAAAAACGTACCTGTTCGATAGTCGCTGACATGCCCCACAGGAATTTCAAAGTCTACGACAATAAAAACTCCACAAATGACGGCTCCTTCGCACCACGTCGTTTAGATTATGAAGGGATAGAGAACAAAAGAAAATGGCCGCTCCTTCAGTAGTTCGTCTGCGCGTGCTTTGCGTGACTTCACCGAAATTACGCAACTTGTCAATCAAATGTTCCAAATATGGTATTACCCACAGCTCCTTTCGGGGTGAGAAACAAAACAAAAATGGCGGATAGGAAACGATAGAAATATTGGGAAGTCAGACGTTTTAGTGACAATTCTGAAGCGCCATGGCGCTGTTGCAGGTTTGTTTTGCATACAACCGTGTCAGTACACTTCAGACTGCAACGTAAAGCTAAACTATTTTCTATTGTAGTGGCGGAGGTTCAATTTTTTTGACAAGGAAGTCCTCAAGGACCCGGGGACAACTCAACCATTTTCGGGGCTCAAGGTATGTCGTTAATGATACTGCTTAAGATGTTAAGTTAGCTTATAGGGATATGCGGACCAATATTTATTCTTGAGTTGGATTTTTTAAGCGTTGCTCTGATTTATTGCTTGTTTCATAGTTTATATTGCTCAGCTCTTAACTAGATGCCCCCCTCCCCCACCCCTCTCCGACTTCGTGTTGTAACATGCAAATAAAACATCATGGGTTCTTGAGGGATTAATAGCAAGAACAATTAAGGGTCCCCCTAGCCTACTGTGTACCATAATTTTTAATGAAACTTATCGTACAAAAAATAACTGAAATTTCTGTTAAAAAGCAAATGGAACATACAGTCATACTGTTGGAATTTTGGTTGGACATTTTGGAGTGATTTTGAGGTCTCATTACAAGGCCGTACCCTGGTTTGCAACATTTTTACCAGTTTCAAGCCTTTTGGCTTTCACTAGCTCATGCCTGAACCAAAACTGGCAGTTGGTTTGTTGTGGACCAACATCAAAAATTGTCTTTCTGGTTTAACCAATTATCAACCATGTTGCTTTCATTTTATTTCGACTGAATTTTCTAGACTTCTTGATTATTTGGGAGGGAGGGGGGTACAGTATAAAAATCACCTTAAATGTACAAACGTACAAGTATTTTATTTTATGTTGAGAAATTCATCAAGCTTTTGTTAATTTGCAGTACTTTGCAGGAAGGATTATTATTCTTTAAACCAAGAGTGATTTTTTAAAAGCTAATTCCTTTTGTTTTAAAGATGTTTTAGTTCTCATGAATCCCCTAACAAGATTATTTTTGTTCTTTGTAGGGTATTGATATTACAGCCTGTACCAGTGGAAGAGGTCAGTTAGTTATTGGAGGTAAGATAAAACATTGTTCTGCCTTTTTCAAACCTACAATCCCAGACAGTCGCAATTAGTTGGGGCACTTCAATTACTGGGCATGTTCTCTTTCCCACTCCTCCGCCCTCTTTTTCCTTCCATTATATAATTTACTGAAATTCTGTTTATGCAAACTTGCAAATCAGCATTTAAAAGAGAGGTGACAAATGGTCCTTGAAAAATGAAGGGTCTCACAAATTTGCATTGAATTTTATGGGTCTAACAGTCTTGGTTTTTTTAGCAGTTATGTGAGTCTCATAGTCTCAATTTTTTCACAAAGCTGTCTCACAGTCTCAATTTTTTGCAAGACTGAGAAAGTCTTAAAGTACTGATTTGTTTTATAAAAGACGTTCCAATGTCTTGGAACCTGAATGTCTCAAGCTCGCATTTAAAACACTTTCAATTGAAGTCTTGGTCTTGCAATTGAAGAAGTCAAAACGTCTCGGGCTCTCAAAGGAAAATGCTAGTGATGCTTGGGTAACTACATGCAGTTATGTTATGTAAAATTAATGTATGTATGGGTGATCAAATAGTGATGAGTAAAATAAGGAAATGATCTCTCGCACATTTTGTCAAAATGCTAATAGTTTTCCAATTATTAGAATTTTGACAAAACGCGACTGAAATTATTTCCTAATTTCTCATATATGCCATTTGATAAACCTTTTGATATCATGAGTGACAAATTTGCTTACAATCATGGATT